GTGATTATGTGGCAATAAAGAACTATGCAAAACTCAAATTCTAACTTGAGATAAGAAACTATCGTATAATATAATTGGCATAAGGCTACTACACAACCAAAATATATATGACAGAAGTTGTGGCATTGCAAAACATGCTTGTTACCCTATACTAAAAAGAAAAATTAAAGGATATATATGGGGAAAAAAGTGGGAGCGAAAGACATGTCTGTTACCCTGTAATAGAAAGAAAAATAAAAGGATGATTTTTTGTAAAAAGATTTGTTAGTTTTTGTCTTGAACTAAAATCTTGTTACTATTGTAAACTAAAATGATTCACAACCTAACTATTGTTTCTAATAATAAATGTTGATTTTTTTTCTTAGAGTATCTATGATATGGTGTATTGGTAGTAAATGAATGGTAGAGTTTATTTATTTTTAGAACATTTTTAAAAAAATAAAAAAAAAAGCCGTCATGAAAGGTTTGTGAAAGCTGTCACAAAAGTTTTGCAAAACTGACTCTCTTTTGGATATATACTGGACAATAGCATAACAATAGAGAAAGGATACCTATATTAGTAAATTGCATAAATGGATTTAACAAACTTTTATAAATCTAAAATAAAGTGCAATAGTTTTATTGAAACTTTGTGACAGATTTGACCAACCCTTCGCAATTGTTTTTACAAAACTTTCTTGACAGTTTTTTTTTTATAAATTTTCTAGTAATAAATGTCTTTTTTTTTTTCAAAGAGTATCAATTATCTGGTGTATTTGTAGTAAAGTAATGGTGGAGTTCATTTCTTATTAAAACATTTAAAAAAAGAAAAAGAAAATCGTTGCGAAGGATTGATGAAAGCCGTCGCAAAGGTTCTGTAAAACTACCCCTCTATTGCATATATACTGGACAATGGCATAACCACGTAGAAAGAATATCCACATTAGGTGGTGCAGGGCATGTGTAAGATGAGAAAGGTCAGTCTATTTCAAAAAAATAATGTTAAAAAAAATTGAGTTTCTCTCTTTGTAATTTTGTCTCAAATGATTTGGGTTTATATGCAGAAAAATGCTAAGATTGTCAAGATTAATGGATACTCGTATGTTCCACCCTACAATGAGAAAGCCTTGAAGATTGCCGTGTCTCGTCAGCCAGTCGCTGCTAATATTGATTCTACCAACATAAGTGATTATGTGGCAATAAAGAACTATGCAAAACTCAAATTCTAACTTGAGATAAGAAACTATCGTATAATATAATTGGCATAAGGCTACTACACAACCAAAATATATATGACAGAAGTTTTGGCATTGCAAAACATGCTTGTTACCCTGTACTAAAAAGAAAAATTAAGGGATATATATGGGAAAAAAGTGGAAGCAAAAGACATGTCTGTTACCCTGTAATAGAAAGAAAAATAAAAAGATGATTTTTTGTAAAAAGATTTGTTAGTTTTTGTCTTTAACTAAAATCTTGTTACTATTGTAAACTAAAATGATTCACAACTTAACTATTGTTTCTAATAATAAATGTCAATTTTTTTTCTTAGACTATCTATGATATGGTGTATTGGTAGTAAGTGAATGGTAGAATTTATTTATTTTTAGAACATTTTTAAAAAAAGAAAAAAAAACTGTCACGAAAGGTTTGTGAAAGCCCTCACAAAAGTTTTGCAAAATTGGCTCTCTTTTGTATATATACTGGACAATGGCATAACAACAGAGAAAGAATACCCATATTAGTAAATTGCATAAATTGATTGCATAAATTGATTTAACAAAGTTTTATAAATCCAAAATAAAGTGCAATAGTTTTATTGAAACTTTGTGACAGATTTGACCAACCCTTCGCAATTGTTTTTACAAAACTTTCTTGACAGTTTTTTTTTTATAAATTTTCTAGTAATAAATGTCTTTTTTTTTTTTCAAAGAGTATCAATTATCTGGTGTATTTGTAGTAAAGTAATGGTAGAGTTCATTTCTTATTAAAACATTTAAAAAAAGAAAAAGAAAACCGTTGCAAAGGATTGATGAAAGTCGTTGTAAAGATTCTGTAAAACTACCTCTCTTTCGCATTTATATTGGACAATGACATAACCACATAGAAAGAATATTCACATTAGGCGGTGCAGGGCATGTGTAAGCTGAGAAAAGGTCAGTCTATTTCAAAAAAATAATGTTAAAAAAAATTGAGTTTCTCTCTTTGTATTTTTGTCTTAAATGATTTGAGTTTATATGCAGAAAAATGCAAAGATTGTCAAGATTAATGGATACTCGTATGTTCCACCCTACAATGAGAAAGCCTTGAAGATTGTCGTGTCTCGTCATCCAGTCGCTGCTATTCTACCAACATAAGTGATTATGTGGCAATAAAGAACTATACAAAACTCAAATTCTGACTTGAGATAAGAAACTATCGTATAATATAATTGGCTTATAATTTATTTTTCAAGGTATATACAAGGGCAGACGTGGTGCATATTTGAATCACTCTGTGCGTATTGTTGGATATGGCTCTGAAGACGGCAAAGATTATTGGGTATTGAAGAATTCATGTGGGTCCAAATGGGGTGAAAATGGTTGTATGAAGCTATCGCGTAATTAGAATATCTAAGGGAGAAAAATTAGAATCGAAAGACATGCCTGTTATCCTGTAATAGAAAGAATAATTAAAGGATAATTTTAAGCAGAAAGATTTCTTAGTTTTTGTTTTAAATTAAAATCGTTACTATTGTAAACCAAAAGGATACACAACGCAATTATTGTTTCAATAGTAATGTTAAACCTTGTCGACCGAAAAAGAGTTATTGTTGGTCTTTTTTATATGTAAATATGTATTTTAAAATGTGCAAGCAGTCAAGGTTGTCCACCAAATAACTACATATGAGCTTCTAGAATTATCAGCACAGGAGCTTTTGGATTGTGACCTTATGAGTAACGAGTGCGACAGAGGAGCAAACTGCTTCTCTTTTGCATATATACTGGACAATGACATAACATAGAGAAAGAATTTCCACATTGGTAGATTGCATACATGGATTTAACAAAGTGCTATATATCCACAACAAAGTGCAACAGTTTTATTGAACCTTTGTGACGATTTTTACCAATCATTCGCGATTGTTTTTACCAACCTTTTGCAACGATTTTTTTTTCCTTGAAAATTTTTGAATAATAAATGTCAGTTTTATTTTTCTAGAGTATCTATGATCTAGTGTTTTGGTAATAAAGTAATAGTGGAGTTCATTTATTATCGAACCTTTGTGATGGTGTTTTTTTTTTTTTTTTTTACCAACCCTTCGATTTTATCTTTTTGTATGTCTTGTAGTCTTGCTATTGATCTTGACTAATTTATATTTTTTAGTGTGAGCAAATAGATTATTGAAATCTTGTGAGAACATTCTAATTTTAATTTATATTTTTTAGTGTGAGCAAATAGATTAATGAAATAACATTCTAATTTTTTTGTGCTTTCCTTTTACAGTATCCTCCTTGTTACAAAGACATGAGTTTTTGGATCAATGAATCATTTACCAAAAACAATCTATGTGAACTTGTCAGAGGAATAGCTGGGAATCTTATAGAAGGGGTACACTTTTGAATAATGAGCAAAACTTTTTTTGACATTTTACATTTATTTTGATTTGCAATTTAGCTGCTTTCATAGAGTTCCATGGCGACATAAATACGAGGTGAGTTGATCTTGTGTCCTGGATTGGTGTTGGCAATATTTTCAGATACTGCAACATTGGCTTCACAATAAATCTTCGTATAACCCCACTTGAATTATAAACCAACTAGAACTATTCAACCCCAAGTTATAACTTCACTTGCCATAACAAACCTCAATTCCATTTTAGAGAACAAGTTGCTAAACCAAAACCATAGACTAGAAAGGACTTTTGCAATTCCATCTTGTTGGACAAAGTCCATAACACGTCTGTTAATTAATTCTAAGCGGGTAGGTGTGCTTGATCGCATTTGAATCTATCAAATATAGAGGTAGACTTGGTAGAACAAGAAATTGAACTTCTATCAATTTGATCTTGTTGAAAACAAGATTGGAGAAAATAAGCCTGACTACTTGATTATCACAAATTTATTTGTCTAGAGTTAGTTTGATAATGTTTCTGCCTTTGAACTTTATGTAGTAAGAGCATCTTGCTTCTTACTGAGATCATGTCCAATTAAAACATAATAATATCATGAATTGAAGTATATATTTAAAATAGACTTTTCTCAATCAAAATTAACTTAACATTTCGTCACCATTGTCTTAATTTTCATCTAATACTCCCTTAATAGGCTCTCCTTGGATTCATAGGAAGGAACCACAACATTCTATTGGACATATTTCAACATTCATGGTTGACTAGTGATGTTTTGAGGTTCCTCGTACGTAGTTACCAAGAATAAAATCATATGTTCAAAAGGGAGCTATTATTTTTCTTTTTTCTTGTTTTAGATTAACTATTTTGCTTATAGTAGATTATGTTGTTCTTTTCTTTTTTTTTTCAAGAGACATATTAATTTTAATTTTTTTTCTGTTTTGCTTCTTAAAATTGCAAGTACAATTAATAGACAATTTTATCAACAAAGAAGAAACGATTGGTTATATATTTTAATGAACTTATCTATGGGTCAACTTATGTCCTGTAAGTTTTTTTTTGACTCTATAAACTTTTTAGATTAAAAGTTATTTGATACTTAAAACTAAATAGGTGATGGCTTACGCATTTGTTAGCTTTAAAGAATTAATAATAAAAAAGTTTAGAAAGGTAAAATTATTTATTTGCAATATTTATATATGTAAAAAAAATAATAAAAAAAAATAAGTGCACTTTCTTGTTCCTCCATATTGAGTTCCTATTACCTATTGAATGTCTTTCCCTTTCTTTCTTTCAGTATAGTAAAACTGTCTCTCATTCTATTTTTTTTGTTTTTTTCGATCCTTTCATTATCGAACCGTAATAGCTTCTAAAAGAAGCCATTCAACCCGCATTCACAGCTTGATCCGCCGCAATGGACTCTCGTGAACCGCCGCCCATCACCGCCTATGCCTCCACCAACGCCTCCTCCATCATCAGCCCTAACTCCAACGCCACCATTATGTCCCCAACCACCGCTCGATTCCCCTTCGCCGCCGTGCCTCCGCCCTCTGAGTCGTTCTCCGCCGCCTCCTACGACGGTTCCTCCTCGCCGATGCGGCCCTGCGCCCTCACCAAGAAGAAGAGGGGGCGTCCCCGGAAGTACTCGCCCGACGGTAACATTGCTCTCGGCTTGGCTCCCACCCACATTTCCCCTTCCGGCGCCGGCGACTCAGCCGGCACGCCGTCTACCGAAGCTCCGGCGAAGAAGCATCGGGGAAGACCTCCGGGGTCCGGGAAGAAGCAGCTTGATGCTTTGGGTACTTTTATTGTTGTGTTGAATGGAACTGATTCTCGTTGTGTTGAATGGAACTGTGTGAAAATTGATTGTGATGGTTTCTTTGTTGTTTCTGTGTGGATGTGAAGGAGCTGGTGGGGTTGGTTTCACACCTCATGTTATCTTGGTGGACTCTGGCGAGGTAATACTTTACTCTTCCAAAAAATTCTTTCCCCCGTCTTTTACAACAAATAGTTACTAGCAATTTCTTCGTAATTATAACAAAAAATTTCCAATTTTCAAATGATTTAATTGTTAAATTCTTTTTATATTCCTGCTTAGTATGAAATTTGTGGTAACGAGTTTGTTTTTTTTTACATAGAGGACGAGGGGGAATACTAATTCAATGTAATGTACTCGTTTGTTTAGTTATTATGTGGTTACCACTGCTAGCTTACGTTGCATTTGTTTGTTTGTTGGTAATTTGGGACTTCAAAAAATTATATGCTAATGTTATTTCCTTTTCTCTTTTGGTGAGGGATATAAAGCCTCAGTTTTCAGAAGTTTTTAAGTTTTGGACTTTATAATAAAATTGTTGTATTGTTATGGTTATGTACATGTGGATTAGCTGGTAATAATAAGACCAGAAAGTTTTGAACCGTGACATGGGTTTATTGCTTTTGGTGGTAACTTTACCATTTTGAAAGATTGTGTTGCGGTGATTATTGTCTTGTCATTCTTTTAAATTTTTTGTATTTATTTGGTGATTAATTTGAGTGCAGTTGGCAGGTGCTCTATGAGATAGTTTTAGGGGGTTTTAACCTTTCTGGTGATGAAAATAGAATGTTAAATAAGCATTGTCCAACTATTCATACTGCATACAGATTATCGTCTAATTGAGTGTTAAATCAGGCCTTCATGTAGACAAGTGATTCTGGTTCAAAATGCTTGTCTTTGCTGCATTTGAAATTGCTATCAACTGCTCATTCAATGCTATTGTGTCAAATTCTTTTATAATTGTTGCTGTGAAGTGTGATTGAATTTTGAATATCTCATTTATTCAATTGAGAATTTATGAGGTGTATTTATTTGTCATGGTTTCTGGTTTGAGTACTTTGTTTTTGAGACTATTAAATATTACACGGTTGCATGAATTTGAATTTATATCTTATTATATCTCTTGTTCCACTTGAAGAGGAAAGAGGTACTTACAGCATTAATCTATTTTTTTCTTGCAAATTTCTCTTGGTAGTTTGCTCTTATTTGGTTTTTGAACCAAAGCAAAGCTAAAAGAAAATTGGGTTTCTTTACTGAGTCAGTATTTTGTTGTGGAACCATCATGTTTGGTTCATGTAATTCTATTTAATATTTTTACAGTCATTCCCGCTAGTATGCTACTGTTGTTTGCAGGACATTACAGCAAAAATTATGGCCTTCTCTCAGCAAGGGCCTCGGACTGTTTGCATTCTTTCTGCTAATGGTGCAATCTGCAATGTCACCCTTCGACAGCCCACATTGTCTGGTGGTACTGCAACATATGAGGTAGTTTTTATATCCATGTATAATCTAGTTAATATCTAGTTATCCATTATATTAAGCTTCGTTTATACTATATTGGAAATGGTCTGCTAATACATGTTTTCCCGACACACATATCTATAAGAACACAAAACTAAATACATAATTATTTTCCAGCATGCAATAACAATTTTCCATGTTTTCTTCTACCCATTTAACTATGCTGTAGAGAGTGAGATATAACACAATCATTTATTTAATTATTGAAGGGCCGTGATTTTCTTGCTTTTTCCTTTTGCTATTGAAACAGGAGAAGTGTGTACTTTCTGTGTACATGTATATTTGACTTAATCTAATTTTTTTTCATGGTTTATTATTATGATAAAGAAAGTATTAATCTCAACCCTTAGGGTTGAGGATAAGCAACTGAAAGTGGTATGTTTTTATTGGGAATAAAACTATTTATTATCTTGAGAATATAAAAGTGTAATAAATATTATATTTTTTAATAGAAAATTACCATTTATAAGTGCTTAAACTCAACTTTAAGGGCTGATATTAACAAAACTATTATTGTTATTAACTACTTTTCAAGCAACTATTTTCTACGGTCTAGTAGAGATATTTGGGCCTCAATTTCAAATTGATAAATGTTACCTTTTAACTTGAAGTAAATCCACCTTCAGAGTTCAGAATTGTTGACAGAAATGACCAACTGAATTTACATACTGAGGCTTATTGCCTAATTTGAAAATTGTAGAATTGGTATTTGCAGGTTATTGCGCAACTGCTTGTAACCTATCCATTTTGAAAGGCACTCTTGCAATGATTCTTGTCTTGTCATTACTTCAAATGTATTTATATTTTTCTCAGGCCTAATTTCAGTGCTGTTGCTCTTTGAGGTAATTTGGAAGGTTCTTAACCTTTTTGGTGATGAAAGTACAATGTTAAATCAGCATTGTCCAATACAATATTACATATTAAATGTTTTAGATTGCTTTATTAGATAGTACAAATGTATTGCGTTATGAAATGGCTGTCTCTTTTTTTCAGTTTTTATTTAAAACCTAATTCGATCTGGGAAAAAGTGCTTTGGAAGTTCAGTTTCTATTGTTGTTGATGGAACTGGTTCTTAACTTCTTATGATGAGCATGCCATAGTGCAATAGGGATACTATCTAGAGGTAATTTGGCCCTTTCATGTAAGGTCTTACTGAATTTGAGGTTCTTATATTTGTTGAATCTAAAGTTTGTGTCTTTCAGTGCATAGCATCTCTATCTTCAGTTATATTGATCCTAAAACTAGGGATCACTTTCTACCCGGTTAAATTTTGGATGTCAAATATCCCAATTGTTAAGCACTGTAATCTCTTGTTTTTGTTACCTAGAGTGCCTTTGGATTGATAGGAAACCAAAGCAACCATCTCTAGGAATTATGAGATTTTTTTTATTGGTTGTATTGGCTATGGTAAAAGTTGTCAAGGAATACTAAAATGATTTAGACAGTGTTCTCACCTCATCTTCTCAAATCATATACTCATTCTGGTGGAAAACTGAAAAAATTCCCAATCATGGTGACAACAGATGATGTAAGTTTAGAGACTAAAACAATGGAGAAACTCAAATTGTCTTGGGGGTTGTTTATAGTACCTGACCTGTATTATTGGACTTGGAATTGGATTTCAGTATGTGGGTCCAAAGGTTCTTGTGTGTGAGCTTCCAATAGATTTGATATGACCATTCATGTGCCATCACTTAATAGCTTAAGTTTTTGGGAGTTGGTTTTTCAACAGTGAAGATAGAATGAGTGGAAAGTCCTGTTTTCCCTCCATGAGCTAAATCATCTTAGTTTCATAGTTCTATACAAGGCATATAGTCTTATTAGTTGTAAAATTACCACTTTATGCTGATACTCCTTAATCCTAGTCCTTGTAGGTGTTGCCCTTACATTGAACTAAAAGTTACTTTAGAGTCTGGTGCTCTGAAGAATTGACTTTATAGCAATAGTTTGATTCAAATTCAGGTTTACCCTTGGGCCCAAGTTCCTTTCATGTTAAGGCATTTAAAGAGTTATTGCTAAATAATATTGATAGATTTCTTCTGTAGAGGAGCTAAGTTTTGCTTAATGTTTAATTTTATGTGTTGTGAAGTGACAATGTTACTACTTGACCCTTGTGGTTGAATATATAATTAAATATCATTGTCTCTTTAGGTTCAGTTCTCTTCACGTGATGTCATTTTACATTGCAGGGACGATTTGAGATTATATCTTTATCAGGTGCTTTGCAGCTATCTGAAAATAATGGGGAACGTAGCAGAACATGTGGTTTGAATGTTTCCCTTGCAGGGTCTGATGGACGTGTTTTGGGTGGCGGAGTTGCTGGAATGCTAACTGCTGCATCACCTGTACAGGTATTGCTTTCAAGTTTCAAATGTATATAAAATTAATGTCAATTGATAATGATTATTATTAATATTATTGTGTGTGTGTGTGTGTGTGGGAATAGGATTTACGAAACTTTGATGCTCTAATTTTTGTTACTTTTTCCAATCATGAATAGGTCATTGTGGGTAGCTTTATTGCGGATGGGAAAAAGTCAAGCTCAAATATCCTGAAATCTGGGCCTTCTTCAGGACCAGCATCCTTTGGTGCTCCTATGACTCCAACTAGTCCTACGTCTCAAGGGCCTTCAAGTGACTCCTCTGAGCCCGAGGAAAATGACCATAGTCCTTTTACTAGGGGGTCTGGACTCTACAATAATGCTAGCCAGCCCGTTAATAACATGCCAATATATCATCATCCTCTATGGGCTGGTCAATCTCATCAGTGAAGATGTGACTTCGGTTTTACATTGCAGAAGCAGGATATTTTGCACGATGATTTTTCAAAGTAGTGGCTAGAGATCAATTCTAAAATGCTAACATGCATTGTTGAGGACTGACTTTAGAACAGTCTATCTTAAGGTCTAAGTCTATCTCTCCATTTTTCTGTTGATTAGGACTTTTTTATCATTTAATATAATCGTAAAATTTCTAGTGATGATAAGCCAATTTGCTACTCGTTATCCTAATTCTGTCATTTTGAAGTTTGATGTCTGCCCACCGCAGTCTCATAGCAGAATAAGGATATGTGCTTTCCCTACTTTATCGTGCTTTATTGTTTGTATAATTAGTTAGTGTTGTTAACACTACTCGAGTCTGATTTTTAAACCTTTAAAAGTGGAGGGTTTTCTTTTTAGCAAAAGAAGCTTTTTTTACACTTTTGTATTTTGATATAATATATATGTTTTCTGTTTTTAATAAAAAGAAAACAATTTCATTAATTCTTTTAGTTTAATGCGGCACTGTTCCTCTTGCGTTCGTTAGTTGTGCTTTGAGCCGCATATTCATTCATGGTAAAATTTTATCCACGGCCACTTCACGTGTTAGCACTGCATGACTCATAAATACTTGTACGTCCTTGCTCTTAAATGACGAATAATTCAGTGTCATCTTAATCAGTTGTTCAAATGATATTAAATATTTTATTAAACGAAGTAAGCGTTAAATGCATTTATGCTGTCTACATATTAAATGCAATAATGCATTGATTTTAGTAATATCTTTTTGTTAATTAGTACATATGTTTTTCATTTAAAATTCATTGAGTTTTTCTTAAAAGAGGTTATGAGTTCAACCTTTGTCTCTCTCCCCATTCTTGCTTATCAAAAAAGAGTAAATTCAAGTATATTTTTTTAATACATTTTTCGTGTTTTTTTAAAATTAAAATTTCATTTTGATAAAAGATAGACATTTAATATTATTGCAAGATATTTAATTTTCTTAATTTTAGTGGAAGAACAACAATAAAAATATTTATAAAACTAACTTAAATTTTACCCATAAAATTGTCCAACAAAATTAGCTTCCACGGCCATCTATGATATCGTGAAGCGTTTCTTTCGCTCCATTATGTTTTTGTAAGCTTTCGAATTTTGAAATGTTGAGAAGGTAAATTTCATTGTCAGTTGTCATTACCATTTATTTAAAAGCATGGTGCGTTGTGCATGAGAAGTCGAAACTTGCGTGTTGCAGTGGAGCGTATGGGCTAAGTCGCCAAAAGCTAGCATAGTTTCCCACGCGCCTCTGCCTGAAAAGTTGAAAACCACACCTTAACCACTACTGTGCGAGCAGATGAGACGGTGACGTATGACAATTTACCATCAATAAAATAAACCACGCGCCACTGCCTGAAAATCACACCTCAACCACGCGCTTCCCTTATACTCCAACGCATATTCAACCCTAACCCACACAACCATACACCCAACCCAAACAAAAGTGACACTATATGGTGGCATCATCATTAGTTTTTACTTTTTAGATGGAATGAATTAATTTTAATATACTATCGGTGTAAAATCGTTTTGATCAATTATGAAATTGTCATCCTAATCAAAATCCTTAAATAATAATGAAAAAACACTTGATGAAAATAAAACAGCGGGTGACTATAGTCCATAGTGACTAAAGTAATGCTAGTTCAACGATTGGACAATTTCTAATATGGGCCCTTCCTAGCAGTAACAACCACTTTCATATGTGTATTATACACATGTATTAGCACATAAATATCTAGCTAATAACCTAACTAGCTAGCCCACTATATAAGTTCCACAGCTTCCTAGAAACATCTCTATTGATCTTCAATCTCTTCATACACTTCAATTCCTATCTATTTGGTACTTTCTATGAAGTGCTTGGTCTTGCCGTTATCCTTGATCCGAAGGCGCTCCTTGAGGTATCGACCCCTAACAAAGGACAAAGGATCCAACAACCCTGTCACCGTAGTGGTCGGAAAAGAGAAGAGGGTGTTCCTCGTCGATCCTTTCATATTACAAGAAAACCCTTTTCGGGTTTTGATGGACACCTCCATGAGGAAGGATCCAGGATACAAGGTTCATCGCCATCAACAAGGAGTGGTTTTTGTCGATGTGGATGCCATTTTGTTTGAGCACATGTTGTGGCTCATGCATAATGATTGCTCTTCTTTGTTCAACCTCAATTTGAAGGAGATTATTGACTTCTATGCTCAGGATGTGTAATCATAACATTGTAAGTTTTGTGTTGCACCTTAACATAGTAAAATACTATGTTTGTATAGTAGTGATATCAGTTCCGATCGACTTCATTGTTAAGAGTAGGGTTCACGCTAGCTTCCTGAGCAGGAACACCTAGTTCCTTGTAATATTTCTAATAATACATCAATGTATCACCGTTATATATAGAAAGCACACCAGAGATGATTATTCTTTCTTTGTATGGACGACACTTTCATTTCATCCATTTGCATGTGTCACTACTGCTTTCAGTTTCTGGTCGTATGTAATCTCTTTTCTTCCTTTTCCTTTTTCAATATTGCCGGCTCGTATGCTTCGTTTTCATCGCTCCTTTACATGCTAAGAAGCCTTGTATCCATCCCTATGAGCAACCAATGAACTAAGTGATTGTTATTACGAATATTAAATATTACAATTTTAATAATAATTTATTATTTTTTATTTTATATATATAGACACGTTAAAGAAAAAAAAAATATTTTATGATTAGACATTGATTAATTTTCCCATCATTATTATGTACCGACTTGTTCAAAAAAGTGTTAATTGGTGACACTTATTAATAAGGTAAATGCTAATATTAAAGTATCTACACCTCTAGTTATAAACAAGAGTACTCTGTCTAAAATATAAAATATTTAATGAAATTAGTCTTTTTAACTTTTTGTCATGTGTATTTTTAAGATTAAAATTGTGTAAAAATGATATGTGAATTATACTTTCCTCACAATAATTTTACTTTTATATATTTATTTATTTATTTTATGAATCTCTATATTTATATTTATAATTTTTTATTACTTCATATAAATTTTTCAAATTTTCTACAAATATCTTTCGTTTATATACGTTCATAATGCTCAATATCTTATTTTGAAATAAATTAGATTTTATTATAATTTTATTAAATTTTTATCATTTTAATATATATATGTATATAATATAATTATTTACAAAAATATATTTTTAATTATTAAATTATATATTTTTTCAAAATAAAATATATTTACATCATGAGATACTAATTAGTTATTAAAATTTTCTTATATATTTTTAAGTAAATGTGTTTCTGGCTTTGTTATTTTATGATAACTTTAATATGTATTTAAGTTAATATTCTACTATTTTTATAATTCAAATATTTTATTTTTTAATTATTTAAAATTAAATTAATTTAAAATTTGCTATACTTTTAAATAAAATATCTACATATATCTATAAATAGTAATAAATTCATTTAAAACCCGCTTAACATGTATCGACACAAGCATACCTACAGATATGGATAGTGAACATCCTAAGCCATTAACATCTCTGCAATCACCATCACAAGCTTGTTTGTTTCTCCGCAAATTCAATTAAACTTTATTCTTCACACAAAATTAATCGTGAAAAGCAGGTTATAAAAATAGGCTGCGTAACAATGATCTTTCTATTTTGATTTTTAACTTCAGTTGGAATCAACTGAGCAAGTATTCCAAACAAGCTTGTAATCATGTTGTCAAAATCAAGAAGTTAATTCCTGGCGTTGTTGAATGTCCTTATATTCCCTACCCTTTATTCCTTTTCTATACACAGTACAGATGGATTACATTAGTTGAAACCTTGAAACCATGAAACGTGCCTATCGCCATCTGTGTTAGCTAGCATGTTAATTATATTGTGGACTTCTGTAGAACTGATACTATATATTAGCGTAAAGTATGAGCAATGTAGATTAAATAATTGGTTACGTCCTCTGAATTCATTTAGTTACTGGGTGGCCACATGATAGTATGCTACAAAGGCTTGTGGAATGATCAGTAGGTACTAGATATAAGATTTAGATTATTTCTTTCTGTTTTATACATAATTTTAGTTACTCTTTATTTTTGTTTTAAGTTGTGGCATATTATTTAAAAAATAATAATTAATATCCTAGTTTTCATGAATTTTTGTATTGTACTCCTTATTTTTTTATATTAATTATTCTTTTCTAAAACTATTTATTGGTATTGTAAAATAATGATCAAAAGAAAGAAAAAATAGTTACTATAATGTCACACAATAGGGAACAGAGGAAATATATATATATATATATATATATATATATAGTGAGTCTCGTGGTAGTTCTTTATTTAATAAAGATTATATATTATTGGATATAACTATATTTCATATTTGTATTATGCATGAGTTTATAAGTTATGAAATATTTTTATATTATTAATTATTTATAATATATTATTAATAATACTAAATAAAAATTTTTAGTTATATTGCACTATAGTTTAATAAATAAACTATTATAGTATACTTTTAAAAAAATACTAAGATATTTACTTGGTATCTAAAAAGTTATTTAATACAATTTTGATTATCTTAAAGTTATAAATGAAAATAAAATTTTTATATATTTTAATATTTAAAGTAATTATTATCTTAAATATTTAGGAAGCTAGATCAATGTATAGTATTGAACATGGAAATTTTAGTACTTTACTCATCCAACTATTTTTTTTAATTTTAGTTTAACCCTTTTTTTGTTTTATTAACTTTATTATTTTAATTTATTTGGTCTTTTGAGTTTGTTTTAAAAATTTTATTTCAGTCTTATAACTATAAATCTTAATTAAATAGTTTTTTTTAATGTTATGTATATATAACAACATCAATTAAAAAAGAGGAAAAAAATATATATGATGATAGTAACTAAGAAAAAAAAAGATAAAAATGTTAATTGATGAAGTTAAATATAGTTAACGAAAAGGGACCTACTTTATTGACTATTAAAACGAAAAAATAATTTAAAGGAACTAATAAACAGAACAAAAAATAATATTAAGAAAATAAAATAAAATAAAATAGAGTGATGATAAAACCAAAGTAAAAAAAAATGCTAATTTTACCTATAAATATTTCAAAACTAAACAATTGAAGCTTTAAAGTTTAATTTTTATAAATTTATTGGTGTGCATCTTTTTTTTTTCTTTCATATTATGGTAATCAATAATATATTTAATATTTTATTATTAAAATAAAATTATTTTTATTTAATCTCACAAATAAATTGATTCGTAATATGTGTCCTAAGTTTATATTGATATCCAGTTAAAAAATTTTAATTTAAAATTTCTAACAATTTTTAACTCAGTTTTTATTTTATTTTTATTAGGACATATATAAAAAAATTATGTCAAAGTAAGAGATATGTAAAAGGTATTATATTAATATGTTTCTATTTGGTATTTGAATGAAAATGAATGAAATGGAGAGGAGAGTTTTATTTATTATTTTATGTTTAGTTAAATATTTTAAAAGTAAGGAGGTGAAGGGAGTCAAATCTCTCTTTACTCCAATTTAACTCCCTCTAAAAGTGGAAGGATTTAAAAGAGGGACTTTTTAAAAATAAAATAGATAAATTTATTTTTAATTTAATAAATATATTTAATTATTTTAAATATATAGTAGTAAATTTTTTTTCATGAATCAAATATGGTATTTGTCTTTTTTATTAAATATTTAGATATAAAGTTTTGTTATCTATACTAAATTTATCTAACTCGGATAAACAATATAAAAAAATTAAAATCATACTTTTTTTTTAATGAGAATAATGTACAAGAAAAATAATAGAAGAGATACTTTTTCTTTTTGTTTTGTTTTGTTTCTTTCTTCTTCTTTTTTTACTTTTTTTTATATAGAGGTAAGATGTAAGGACCACAGGGCCCATTATCCTTAATTTGCCTAACAGCCCAATTAAGGACTCTATTCCATCGCCTATCTCACTGGATGCACACGAAAAGACTCCCAAAAGAATCATTCACCAACCATGCCACCTAAAGGATTACGTAGTCATGTGTCCTGCTTTCCATAAAAAGAGAAATTCGATTAGGAAAGAATGATTAAAAATATTCCTTGTATTTTCCTATTTTTATTTGCATATGATTAATACTGCAAAGCGGTTGTCATTTGTGCATATATAACACACTATTATTATGAAAAGGAGACAAGAAATATAAAGTATAACTTTTTTCCCTGAAAATTCTCTCCCTTTCTGTTATTTTCTCCTTCTTTCTACAGCAGTACCTTTCATTGGTGCTTTCATTGATCCCTACTCCATATGGCTGAGTCTCCTTTTCCTCAGGATGAGCTCACCAAGCTCAACATAAAACTTGAACAAATCCTTCTTTCTCATGCCAACCTCTCAATACACTTCATGACATTGCCAACCGCACCTCATTTCTAGAATCCCAACCACATACACAACAACTCTCTGCACCCACCAGACCTCTCAAATTTGACCTTCCAACCTTTAATGGTTCTAATGCCCTCGGTTGGATCATTAAGGTCAACCAATTTTTTGAGTTTCACCAAACACCAACAGATCAACGAATCCAGATCTCTTTCTTCTACCTTGAGGGACAAATTCTAGCTTGGTTCCAGTGGATATTTAACAGTGGACTCTTAACATCTTGGGATGCCTTCTTACGGGCCCTGGAGTTGCGATTTGCTCCCTCCAAATTCGATGATCTCATAGCCTCTCTCTGCAAACTTACTCAAATACACAGTCTCCAAGATTATCTCTCTGAGTTTGAGACCTGGGCCAATCGTATATCAAACTAACCACAAAGTTTCTATCTTAGTTGTTTCCTTTCCAGCCTTAAACCCCACCTTCGCTGTGAGGTAACCGCACTTCAACCTCCAGACTTATCCCACGCAATCGCCTTGGCAAAACTCCACGATTATCAATTCTGATCATCTCTCGCACCCCTCTTCCATTCCCACCACTCACCCCAAACTCACCCACTCCTCCTAAACCTCTCCCCCCCCCCTCTTACCTATACCACCCACCAAGCTTTCTATTAAACGCCTCACTGAGGCTGAGATGCAGGCTTGAAGAGATAAGAATCTCTGCTTCAACTATGATGAACGATACACAAGGGGTCATCGCTGTAAACCACAATTTCTTCTCCTCACCACTTTTGACTCAGAGGAGCATACTAATTTTTTATCCCACAAGAATTTTCAGTCCACCGAAGATGCTTCATAAGAAGTTGGACTCATAAACCTCTATGC